AGCCAGGGCAACGGATAAAAGCAACTTCTTTTTTCTAGAGCCAGTGGCCGACCAAGAGCAAACGTCTCGATTTGAGAGGCTCGGCACCTTCTGGTAGGACAGGATACTGAATTTGAGCTTCTTGAAAAGACAATTGGGTGGTTCTCAGCTCAGAAAGATTTAGCAATTTATTGAGGGATTCTTTGTTCATGTTGAGTTGCTGTTTGATTGTTGTTAGAGTCCCAAGGATTGTAGCTCGTAACTATTTGTCGTTTCCACTCACATCTCAACGCGTACAGACATGACGACGCTTCTGCCATGAAGTAATTCGAAAGTTGATCGTCGCGTTATGTTTTCCCTGTTGTTTGCAATTGCTATACCCCCCACGCTCAGATACTCTGCCAATCGCGACAACAAGCAGAGCCGGCTTACCGACCAAAAGCTCGTTTAATGTCTTGGCAACACATTGAATCGGGTCCCAAGAGAGCAGGTGCAGCACGGTAAGGCCGACCGTCGATACATCAGCTCTCAAAAGTTCCCATTATCCCAAACCCCGCAGACAAGGCCAGCCACGCGAGGAAGCGTTGTCGTGCACCATGGCCACATTCCGGGCGGAAGCCGAGGAGGAGAACAAGATAATCGAAGAGACATCAGACCCGAGAACCGTGTTACTGAGCCACCAAGCCAGAATCCTGGTACGGCAGACGAGCAGGATGGGCAGGTCCTTTATCCAACTGACGCGGTGCTGAGCAACAGTTGGTCCCAACCCGCCACCCCGCGATATGAAAAAGTCTTGGCACCTGCCCTTTGGGGTACATCGTGGCGTGCGAATATTTGAGCCAAGGTGTTGTGACCCGCGTCTTGGCCCTCGGATGCAGTAGCATCGAAAGTGCTTCCATGCCTCTCGCCTTCTTCCAACGGCAAACCACTTGCGGTAACACTCCCCCGTTATTGCATAACCATGGCTGGCAGAACAATCAGCTAGGCGAGCCCGTCTTTGCTGACAGAACTCGCCGGCTTATCAGTTGCATGAATTGGGCTCGCTGATTCGATATGTCTTCACGTTCCCCGCCCCAGAACCCATGCAATCGGCAAGGTCCAAATGCATGCCAAGCTTAACCAGAAGCTTGAGCTCTGACTCTCTGAGCGAGACCTCGCAATGTCGCCGCGCAGCGTGCCATTCGACATGGAAAGTAAAGGCGAAAAAGCAACTCAACATGCGGTGCCTGCATGCTGTGATCATTATAAAGAAGCGGGCGATGCCCGTGAGCGCGTCATTTGGATTCTGAGAGCTCAACCCGCCTTGTCCTTCTCGCGGTCTCCTTCCTGATCTCATTCACCAGATCACCCGCCAAGATGAAGACCACCTTACTCTCCGCCGCCGCTCTGGCGCTGGCTTCCACCACCCTGGCTACCGATCCTCTCACTGCCGATAAGATTGAGGCTGACATCAAGACTGTTGAGTGAGTCAATTCCGTGCTACTGCGATCTCCCATGATACGAAGCTTCGGCTAACCTATGTTCCAATAGGCTTGAGCGCGTTCTCTGGAATCTGAACAAGATCGCTCGCGACAATGGCGGCACCCGCGCCTTCGGCACTCCGGGCTACAAGGCCTCGGTCGACTTCGTCCTGGAGCGTGCCCAGACTCGCTTCGCCAAGCAGATGGATACCTACCTCCAGCCCTTCAACCATACCTTTGAGCAGACCAACGCCATTTCCGTGACCGGGCCCGACGGCGATGTCATCGTCATCAGCGCCGAGTACAACACCGCCACTCCGCTGCCCGGCGGTATTACGGCTCCTCTCATCGACACCCCCGTCGACGATGAGAATGGTTCCGGATGTCTGCCGGAGGCCTTCGCCGGTATCGATGCCACTGGCAAGCTTGCTTTGATCAAGCGTGGCGTCTGCGCTGTCTCTGACAAGATCAAGAACGCAAAGGCTGTCGGTGCTCTCGGTGTCATCCTGTACAACCAGGTCCCCGGTGACGACATCGTCAAGCCCACTCTCAGTGCTGAGAACATCGGTCTCCTCGTTCCCCTGGGTATCATCACCCTCGAGACTGGTGAGGCATGGAGCGCCCTCCTTGCCGCCGGCGAGGAAGTCATCGTCACCCTCATCGTGGACTCCATCTTTGAGGAACGTGAGACCTGGAACGTCATTTCCGAGACCAAGGAGGGTGACCCGAACAAGGTCATTATGCTCGGCGCCCATCTCGACAGTGTTCTCGAGGGCCCTGGCATCAACGATGACGGTTCAGGCACCGCCGCCCTCCTCGAGCTCATGGGTTCCGTTAAGAAGTACAGCGGTTACCCCCACAAGATCCGTTTCGCCTGGTGGGCTGCCGAGGAGGCCGGCTTGGTGGGATCCTACTACTACACTGAGCACCTCAGCTCCGAGGACGCCGACAAGATCAAGTACTACTTCAACTACGACATGATCGGATCGCCCAATCCCATCTACGAGCTCGCCTCCTACAACAACAGCGGTATCGGTCCCCAGCTCCTCGCTGAATACCTTGAGGCCAACGGCAAGGAGACCATCTCCGCTGAGTTTGACGGCCGCTCCGACTACGCCGGCTTCGTCGATCTCGGCATCCCCGTCGCGTCGATCTTCACTGGTGAGGGCGAGAACGACCCTTGCTACCACCAGGCCTGCGACACGATTGATAACATCAACTGGGATGCCATCACTGTCAACACCAAGGCTGCTGGTCGCGCTCTTGCTACTCTTGCCAACTCGCTTGAGGGTGTTCCCCCTCGCGCTGACACTACCCCTATCCTCCGTGGCCGCGCTGGTGTTCTCCAGCAGATGCGTCGCTGGAAGGCTCTGGCCGAGCACACCAGCCACGGCAAGACGTGCTCTCACAACGATGAGAAGAAGATCTACTAGAGACTTTCGAACTGAATTCTGGATATGTTGAGTCAGGTGCTGAGGAGTCGCGGGGTTAATGTAGCCACATCACCATGACTTTGGTTGAGAGTTAGCTTACGAGTAATGAAGATAATGTCTACTGTGCCTTACCTTTATGTGAAAAGAACTAAACTGTCCAAAGGACGCTCATGTCCTTGAAGTATAGATGCCCAGAGACCGAGAGTGAAGGAAACAACAGCCAGATACCGGTGAAGTGGGGCCGACCGGCACCGGGGGAGTTGAGGGCTCGGCGTCACCCACCGCGGATTAGCGCCTCGGCAACTGGAAATTACAGCTGGAAGCACGACCCATGCCGCAAATTTCTGCTGATTGGTGCTGGCTGAGCCCCAACAGAAAGGGGTATCCCCAATACGCGTGTTGTGTTTGCTCTTCTCATGCCACCGCGTCACGTCAAGTGGAAGCCGGCGTTTCAATCTTCATTTTGAAGCCAACTAGAGTCTAGAGACTGATAAGCTTCATTGTGCCGAGTCAGTAACAAGTCCAGACAACCATGGCTCCAAAGAAGCACAACTATGAGTTCGGAGGCCCGTAAGTCCTGCGTTCAAGATCTGCTTCATACACTCAATCGCTGACTCTGATGCTCACTCAGTCCCGGCGCCTTTGCCATTGTCTTTGGACTTCCCGCCCTCTTGTGGACCTTCTTCTTCGTCTGCAATGATAAGACCGGCTGCCCCGCCCCATCAACCTTAAGCCCTCGCACTTTGAGCTTGGAGAAGCTCAAGCTCGAGACGCCATGGCCCGCCAATGGAATCTGGGGCTTCTGTAGCTGGGAAGCTGTCGGCTGGTCATTGGCCTATTACTTCGTGAGCCTGGTCCTCTACCGCATCCTTCCTGCTCAGGAGATGCTCGGCACCAAGTTGGTTCAGTCCGGTCGTCCATTGAAGTACCGTTTCAATTGTAAGTTTTCTCTTTCCGAAGATTCGATGATTCCATCTAACCCATTAACAGCTTTCCACGCCACAGTCTTTCAGCTCGCTGGCCTGGCCATCGGCACCTACCTCCAGGGCGCCGACTTCGTCGTCTGGACCTACATCTCAGACAACTACCTCCAGCTCCTAACCGCCAACACCATCATCGCCTACATCATCACCGTCTACGTCTACGTCGCCAGCTTCAGCGTGAAGCCCGGCAACCCAGACCTTCGCGAGCTGGCCGTCGGCGGCAACACTGGCAGCCTCATCTACGACATCTACATCGGCCGCGAACTGAACCCCCGCGTCACCCTTCCCTTCTTCGGCGAGATCGACCTCAAAGCCTGGCTGGAGATGCGTCCCGGCCTCACCGGCTGGGTTATCCTCAACCTCGCCTTCTGTGCAAAGCAATACCGCACATACGGCTACCTCACCGACAGTATCCTTCTCACGACCACCGTGCAGGGATACTACGTCCTCGAGGGCCAGTTCATGGAAGCTGGCCTGCTCACCATGATGGACATCACCACCGACGGCCTGGGTTTCATGCTGACCTTTGGTGATATTGTCTGGGTGCCCTTCCTCTACTCCACCCAGACCCGCTATCTCTCCGTTCACCCCGTCCACCTGGGCTGGGCTGGCGTCGCAAGCATCTTTGCCGTCTTCGCGACGGGTCTGTACATCTTCCGCTCTGCGAATAACCAGAAGAAGGTCTTCCGCACGCAGCCTGATCACCCCAGCGTTAAGGATATGCCGTTCATCCAGACGAAGCGCGGTACTAGGCTGCTTACTGGTGGATGGTGGGGTAGGTCCCGCCATATCAACTACTTTGGCGACTGGCTCCAGGCTTCGCCGTTCAGCTTGCCGACGGCGGTTTCTGGCTACCAGATTCTCACTGCTGGCAGCGCCGTGTCTGGTGCTATCACGATGCTTGACGGTCGTGAGGTCGTTCAGGGCGCTGCTCGCGGCTGGGGTATGATTTTCACATACTTTTACGTGCTGTACTTTGCAATTCTGCTCATTCATCGTGAAGGACGGGATGATGTGGCTTGTTCAGAAAAGTATGGGGAAGACTGGGAGAAGTATAAGAAGATCGTCAGATGGAAGATTTTGCCGGGGATTTACTAAGGTAGGGGTATATGCGCGATCAGCAATTCGGCCAAATGTAAGAGTGTCATCGATCGAATTAGGCTATCAGCTTTGATATTTGGATTTGAAATGGCCTATGTAGCATTGTGTTTGCGCAGCAAAGCCTCGATTTGGCTTAAGATTCCCTCGGAGTCTGTCAAGCGTTGGTCAATAACGTCCTCGAAACTGCTCCCCGTAACATCTTCCCTGATCTCCGATACAACGTCTAAACTACGCTTTTGAACCTCAGGTTGACATATCTGAAGTGGGGTCATACCACTGAGATAATCATGCGCACGTAACCAGGGATGCTCTGACCGATTCATCGCAGCTGGATTCCCTCTTGTGTTCGGCTCAGCACCACCCTCAAGTAAAACTTCCACTCTGTCTTTGTCCAGACAAGCTACGGCAATTTGCAGTGGCGTAACCACGAAATCTGGCGCATCTGTTTTCGCACCCCGACGTAGCAGACGCTTCAGAATACACCCGTCTTCGCAGCCAGAAAAATAGAATTGAGATCTCCCATGGTGATGGAACATGATGCAGTCCAAAAGAATGCTGTGATAGTCTAGAGCTTCGGGCCAAGTTCCCAGAAGATAGTGCAGCATTAGCCAGTTATCCGCACTCGCGGCCGCGATATAATTGGTAAGGGGGGATGTGGAAATAGTCTCTACTATATGTATCACCACTTTGGTGCAAGTGATCCAGGTCGATTACAGTCCGGAAAATTTCCTTTGTGTTATTTTGGTTGCGTAGCATGAAGTCCGCTATTGTGAAAGCATTCATGTGCAAGAAGTCGACGAGAATTTGGACTTCAGGTGGCGTTGGTGCAGTAAATTCGGCGGAGAAAAAGGGTTTGCGAAGACAACAGTTCTCTTTGAACTGCTCGATTTTATGGGGCACCTCATCGTACTTTCTCCACAATCGCCGGATTATATCCACAGGATGGCTTCTCGAATGATGCGGAGTTGTAAGCATTGCAGCAAGATCTCCATTTTGTTCGAAGAACCTATCATGGTCTTCAATCAGAACTATTACTGCTAAAACGCAGTATGTTCTGAAGCCTGGTTGCAAAAGATTGATGCACGGGTTGTCCAGAGAATCCAGATCGCTCTCAAGAATAAGACCTTCATCATCGTCAACAGTGGACTGAAATGCTTCCAAGAGAAAGAAACCTTGCCCGCTCGCTCAAAGCTTCGCCTGCATCAAAACGAAAGCAAAAGCCATTTACGGTGCTAGCTGATACGGCCAAGTATTCCATGACGGTGTAATGAGGGAACGAAACTTGAAGCTCTCCATCCGGGAAAGGGTCCCTGTATTCAGGTGCGGTGACTGTAATGAGACAGCCACATAATTCGAGAAGCATCTCGGCATCGTAACGGTAATCTCGTGGGCCCAATTTTTTTTTGATTTAGATCTCTTTCGATGGCTTCGAGCAGCACATTGCAACTGATAGACTCATCGGAAAAGACTTTGTTGTTGAAGCATATCCAATCGAGAGCCGAGAGCACAATCGGGTGATCTTCTTCAGGTACCATTTCAAAAATTCTGTCGTATGTGTCGTTAAGAGTTCTGGGGAGGTTCTTCAATTCGTTTCTGATGGTTGCCTTGGTACCTTTGATTCGTCGCAAGGCATCAAGTTGACATACAACCCAGCGAAACCTGCGCGACGAGCTGGTCAGTGTTCGCAACGACTGATAGCGACTTTAAATGCTATGTAACTTACATTCCTTTCGCACCATCACACAAGGCTTCCAAAGCCTCTTTGCGTAAGTCTTCAGTCCAGTCTTTCAGCTTGTCGTTGGTGGCGAGTCGCGTTTCGATGTACAGCCGTATATCAGCATCGAGATATTCATTCCGCATGGATACTTCCGTTGAAATATCGCGCATGACTTTATCAATGTCCAAATATTCCCGGCTAGTCACCAGGAGCTGGATCTTTGAGAATCTAAAGTCGGTAGCAAGATCTCGCAGGACTTTAAGAAGCTCTTCCCGGGGACTGCTTTCGTCGACGGTGTCAATCATGATTTTAACGCTGCTAAAGTAGCTCGAAGCAGTTTCAAGAGCAGCGAGTAAGCCGCTAAGGCTAGGATCACCACCGTCTTTGAACATTCTCCAAAGCTGGTCGGGCACCTGTTCGGCTTTCCTACACATGCGTTCGAGAATCCATCGAAGAAATGGTGCCGATTCGTCCTGATTGTGTCCAAAGTAGCAGCAGTAGTAAATCCCAATGGACTTAGAATCATTTGGGGTAGGCTCTTGACAACTCTCCTCAAGTTTTTCAGTGAGCTGGGAAGCTAGGATGGTCTTTCCGGCGCCAGGGATGCCATGAATGCAAAGGCATCGTAGATCTCCACGACTGAACTGGGCCCATTCCGAAGTGCGTGACATCCAGTCGCAAGTTCCAGGTTCGTAGTTTGTGCAAGCTCGGTGGTGAATTGATGAAGGCTCAGTATGTCTGAGCCACTTGTAAACCTCTGTTCGTTGGTTCTCTAGCTCAAAAGAATCAGCACGTTGATTCAGATCTCGCGCAAGAATCTGAACGGAACATACCTGTCAAAGCTTGTTGTATGCGTGAAGTTTTCTCACGAATGAGCTTGATGTCATGACTAAAGTGATGTTAGACTTCTGATAACCACTGTTGAAATTTTCGCAGGGGTTCAATTGTGAGACATACAAGGAAGTCGCGGTTAAGGCGAGACTGATAGTGTTCTTGCATCGTGCGATATCTTGAAGCAAACTTCTGGCCTTGGTCTCCTTCAAGGGCCATGCCAAGGTTCTCATGGTGACTTGTAATTTTCTTCTCTTCATTCCACGGGTCCCTTGTGCCTGTGTTTCGTCGGAGGCGATCAACTTCTCCAGCTGTTCGATGGCGCCATGGCATTCTCCGACAGGCCCTGCATTTCCGTCCAAAGCTTTTCGTAAAGGCGAGTTTGGTTCTTCGAACTTGAGAAGGAAATCAACATTTTGCAAGGCTGCCCCTACTGATGAGGTTTCGACGAGGATTGTGCGTAGGTCTGATGGTGCACCCTGGACGTGCTCGATGTAGTGCTTGCAGATCGATACCACTCTATCTGCGATCTGAATAGTTGCGAAAACGCTCGCCACAAGACCGAAGGCTTCTGCCATCTCTCAGCCTCTATGCGACTCACGGGCGACGGCAGTGCTTAAGCAATCAATGTCGGCGACAATTCGTATACCGGAGAGAAGGAGAGCGACGAAAATGCGATCAGGGTGTGGGTGGGGAGGTCTCGTCTTGTGATTCTCCTGGCGCTCGAAAGCAATTGGCAGAATGCCTCGGAGTGTGCCCAAGGCAGGCTGTGCCGCAACAGATAACTCCAGTCCAATCATCTGGTCCCGACTGATGGTGCGCCTCAAAACGAACCCATAAGGTGCGGTAGCCTGCATATGACAAGATCGATTTCTTCCACAGCCGAGGAAAAGGCATGTCACTGCCCCAAAACGGGTTAATTTACGGGTTGGCGATCTCTATAGGCGGTTCCTTCCATCATTGACAACATTTCCGAGCCTGCTATCGATGCTGCATCAACAGAAGGTCTGGTAAAGCCTCGAGACGTATTGACCAATCGCATGCTGCCGCTGTTTGAGGAATTGCACGAAGCGGGATATTCTGTAAAAGGGTGTCTATTCCTATCAGGTATCGAGACATGCAAGTAACGCTAATCGCTCACAAATTGCTGGAAATTCTAGTCATGAAGTTGATCATCAGTTCATCCTCCTCCGGGATCAAGCCAAACTTGTCTGCACTCCTCTCATTCTGGAACCCCTCATCGGGGCTCGCCCAGCTGTAGCCCTTCCACACGCCCAACTCGGGCCACATCTTCTGCTCGACGAGAGCCTTGAGCTTCTCATACCGTGGCGAGGCCTCGCCGCCAGCAGCAAAACCCTGAAGCACGAGCTTCCACGATTCGACGGTCTGCTCGAGCTCCGCGATGCCGGTGACGCCCATGACACTGCCTCCGACGCGCTGGTCGCTGCTCTGACCCGGCAGCTGCACGCCGAGACCAGCTGCGGCGCCGACGCGGGCGTACTCCTCCATCGACCAGTGAAGAGCCACAGTCTCCAGGCGCTCGCCGGCTTCGCTGGCGATGGTCGAGAGCTCCTTGCACGCGGAGCGCAGGTCATCCGGCGCCGGGTGCCATGATGCGATAACGCCAGCCTTGCCCTCCGCCGTCTCCGTCCGCGCGGGGACGCCCGTGGATGTGAGGAGACCCATGCCGAGCATGCTGGCGTTCAGCACGACCTGCACGCCGGCGTTGCCGAACCGCCGGAGCGGGCTCTGCTCGTCGGTGTGATCGGGTCCAGCGACAACCTCAGCGAGACCGAGTGTGGGATTCTGAATGGTGAAGTGTCCGTAGCTCAAGATGGCATCGAGGGCCTCGCCCGTCTCAGCGAGGATCATCTCAGCGAGACTGCAGAGGACGTGGACGGGGAAGCCACTGATACCGACATAGCGGATCTTGCCCTCGTCACGGAGCTGCCTTAACGTCTGCACGGCGGCGAGGACTTCTGCGGGGGAGACGAACTCAACGTCGTGCATGTGCACGAGGTCGAGGTACGGCGTGTTGAGGCGGCTGAGGGAGCGGAGGACAGAGTAGCGCACGTACGCCGGCGAGTAGTCAAACTCGTTGCCGGCGATGCGGCCTGCCTTTGTGACCAGCACGTAGGACTCTCTACGGATGTTGGTGGCTGCTGTGTGGGCGGCCAGGGCGTCGCCGAGGAGGACCTCTGAGGGGCCGTAGTACGGCGATGTGTCGAAGCCGTTGACGCCGAGCTCTAGTGCCCTTGAGACGATTTGCCTGTACGGCATCTGCAGCGGGTCCTTTACATGCTGGGTGTTGAATGTTGCTGTGCCCAGGAAGAGAGGTGGCAGGACGGAGGCGATGGAAGGCCGGGAGGCCGGGTTGAGGCTTGTTGTGGTAGCCATGACTCCAGGACTCTGGAGGAAGATGATATGAGAATGAGATGAGAGCTAGTGAGGATGATTCGATATGCTCAGGGTGTAAAAGTCGGGAAGAGGGGCGGGAAAGAAGAGGGACTTGTCAGGAAACTTTCTAGCCTTAAGACGGGTGAGTGGGAAGAAAGGGCTGAGCCGTGAGGTGTTTGCTACTTGATATGAGAGGGTCACAACAGGATCGGTCCAGAAGTCTGGTCTAAAAAGCTCGCATGGGGGCCTCGCCGCTTGCCAGGTTCCTGGACTAGGAACAATTCGTTATTAACCATAACTGATATGTGGGCATGGGAGACCGCTCTCCGTCCGCTTCTATTAGCGTACCCAGAATCCGCGAGCTCGGATTCTCCCAGGGCTAAGCCTAAGCCGCGTACGCTCAAAGGATGCTCGACTCAGTACCGATACATAGGGTAAGGTATTAGAGTATCAACTCGTCAATACTTACGAAGCTGTGTTGCGTGGTGGAGTTTAGGCGCGGTCCATCTTGGGCCAAGCCCTTTGGCGCAGGCCATTTTGCCAAGTGAATTGGACCGATTGCACGTGTCACCTCGTCTCAACTTGCCACAACTTGATAGATAGAGTGACAGCAGAACGACAGGTTGGGCAAAGCCGCAAAGGGAGAGAGAAGAGAGATCATGCATGGGAGACCCCCAAATGCAAGAATCCTTGCCAACTGCAATTTTTCTCCTACCGGGCCTCGCAGGCCGGCATAAGTGTGGCGGAACCCCCAGCATCCATGTTCATCTGAGACTTCCTGTTTCAAGCCACCCTCCTTGACTCGTCATCCACAAACAGATCCCCCCGATCCCTGGCGCCAGTCGTACGGTCTGGTTGCAGACCGCACCAGAAAGCTGCTGCACAGAAACGCAGAAGATGCGGTGTGCTCCATTGCGGCCGCTAAACTTGTTTTGTCATATAAACCGTCATTAGCCTCAAAATCTCCAAAACACTCGGCTTTCAGGGTGCGTTGTTCAATTCACTCTCGGGTTTTCCCTCATAATCTTTGCCATCAAGAGTGGCGGGCGGCACTTAACAAAAGGACCCTCAACCTTGGATCATCATCAGGGTCGTCTTGTAGCTCGACTTTGCTTCTTCCGAGCCCGGTGTAATAGTTGTTAATTATCATCGTCGCAGAGAGCAGGCTCCGACACTCACAATGGCCGCCGTTGCGTCCGTGGATCCTCACATTCGCGGCATCATCGATGATGCCGCCGCCGATGGCATCCCGTTCCGGGCCAAATCGGCTCACTTCCACACCACATGGGCGCGCACCTTTTCATCGCTGCCGGAGCTCTTCATTCAGCCTCAGTCGCAGCAAGAGGTCGAGAAGGCAGTGAAGCTCGCGCGCCGTTGCAGGCGGCGCATCACCACGGTCGGCCATGCACACTCGCCTTCGGACCTGACGTGCACGAGTAACTGGCTGGTGAACCTCGATGGATTCAAGAAGGTGTTATCTGTCGATAGTAAGCACAGACCCTCACGTCACATTTCACTCTCTCACTCATCCGCGTAATCTCATGAGAACTATGCTAACGCAACCCGGCAGAGGAGACTGGTCTCGTTGTCATGCAAGCCGGCATCAGGCTGTGGCAACTCACCGAGGAGCTGAACAAGCACGGCCTCTCATTCCCCGTGCTGGGCAGCGTCAACGAGCAGAGCATCGCCGGTGTCATCGGCACAGGAACCCGCGGCAGCACCCTGAAATACGGTCTGCTCTCGGAGGCCATTTCCTCACTCAAGATCGTCCTCGCCAACGGCGAGACAGTCTCATGCTCGCCGGATGACAACCCGGACCTCTTCCGAGGCGCCACGCTATCGCTCGGCGCCCTCGGCATCATCACCGAGGTCAGCTTCCGCGCCGTGCCGGCGTTCAGCTTGCATTGGCAACAGACGATCCAGGCCGACTACAAGATGCTTGACTCCTGGAAGCAGGACAACAAGCTGTGGACCCAGTCCGACTTTGTCCGGGTATGGTGGCTGCCTTATACCAGAAGAGCTGTGGTCTGGAGGGCCGACATCGTCACAAAGGAAGATCTCGAGTCCGGAAAGGAGAAGAACCGAGATCCGCCAGTCGGCTACTACGATGGAGCCCTCGGTTATCACATATACCACAACCTCCTTTACCTATCGCGTTACATCCCTCGCATCCTGCCCTGGGTTGAATGGTAAGCTGAAGCACCCCATCCCTTGATACAACTCATCCGACGTTGTCGACGGACTCAACGGACTAACTGACGCCCTACAGGTTCGTGTTCGGCATGCAATACGGCTTCAGTGATGGCTACACCTCGTCAGCCATCCAGCCCATGGATAAGGCCTTGTGGATGAACTGCCTCTACAGCCAATTCGTCAACGAGTGGGCCATCCCACTCCACCGCGGGCCCGAGGCCCTGATGCGTCTCGGATCCTGGCTCAACAAGCTCAAGCCGGGCGACCCCGACTACGTCGACCACGGCATCCCTTACTCCGCCGAGGGCCTCTACGTGCACTCTCCCGTCGAGGTCCGCGTCTGCGACGCCACCGTCCACACCAGCGCTGAGCAGCGCAACAGGCCTTTCCTCGACAGCACCGTCAAGGACGGTCCCACGCTCAACCTCAACGCGACCATGTACCGTCCCTACGACCTCGACCCTCCCGGCCTGAAGCGCTGGATGCAGGGCTTCGAGTGGTTGATGCGTGACCTCGGTGGCAAGCCGCACTGGGCCAAGAACTTCAACGTCAAGAACGAGGAGTTTGCTGAGTGGTACGGTGATGATATGACCCAGTGGCGTCGGGTCCGTGACGAGGTTGACCCCGACGGACTGTTCGTCGGACCGTGGCACCGGCAGTTCGTGCTGGATCCCAACAGCCCTCCTCTCATGTTTGAGGAGTTTGAGAAGACGAGGCATGATGCTGGCAGGGGTGTCACCGTATACGGCACTCGTCTGGAGATCGAAGATGCTGACGCTGATGTCAAGGCATGAGCTACCCTATCTTAGTTAGTATCTGTAGTGTCTGACTGCGTAAATTCCGGGCCCGGTGAACGGCGTGGGCTGTGGAAAATTGGCATCTGGATTTTTCATAGCATTGGTTTACTTCCTACAACACGACCACATAGATTTCAAGCGAGACAATTTTCATCCACTGCCCAGGCCGCCCGGAAGCATTTTACATCCAAAGCAAGATTGTAAACAGTTCTTATTCCCAATATTCGAATACGACGAAACGCGTAAATCA